AGTTTTGGGGTGTGGGGGTATATGATGAAAGGTAAAATGCAATTGGACAAGGGCTGCCTGCCCGCCCGTTGCCATGATGAAAGGATCTGTCTCATTCATGCTGGGTGTTGTGTGTACCATGTTGTGTGATGTTGTGGGAGAATGCAGACTGGGCAGTGAGCCCCAAGATAGCGCTGGACAAAGGGTGAAGACGGCAGGTGCAGACAGCGAGTATCTGACTTCTTTCTTCCGCGAAGAACCCTTTATTTCTTGACCATGTTGGTTTGGAGTCGCAGAATTCTAGTCCGGAACCAAAGAACGAAGCTGGTCCAGGCACCCTGCGTCTTGCGCTTGGCAGTCTGGGAGCGACGGGGTCCTTCAAACATGAGCTCATCAGCAACAGGCGCTTGGCCCTGGTCGGTGCTCTCGTAGTTGCGGCTGGCAAATCCGACATCGCCCTGGGCTCCCATGGCCAACTTCTCAGCATCGGTAGTGGCCTTCTTGGCATCGGGACCAGTCTTCTTGCGACTGATGGAAGGGCGGATAATGTCGCTGGAGCTGTTGCGGGTGCTGTGGGAGAAGCTCTGCTTTCGGGCGGCCTCCTTTGCCTCTCTCTTCATCATCTGGTGCTGCTCACGCTCATAGCGCATGGCCTCTTTGACATCGGCACGCTCTCGGTCGCGCATGTCCTTCTTGTCTTTCTTCTCACTCTTGGCCCGCTCCTTCTCCTCCCAGCGGCGGCGCTCCTGTCGGATGCGCTCCTGGTGATAGTTGGAGTCAAGCTCAGAACGAGAGCGAAGGCGAAAGCCCTCAATGGAGGTGCGAAGGGGTGACATGGCAGTGACTGAAGTTGAGGGTGAAGCTGAGGATAAAGGTGAAAGTACAGGTGCAGTACTACTGGGGGCAGCTGACTCTGATAGTCTGCCTGCTGAGATGTTGATATCCGAGTGACTACATACGTGGACTAGTCGTGATGAGGTAGTGTTTGAGTTTGTGCGACTGGTGTTGATGCGCAATGATGGAGGACCAGTATGGTTGTTGATATCAGATAGAGAGGAAGTGCGGCTTGCCAGTGAGGGTCGCCTGGGGTAAGAGGAAGAGGAAGGATTGCTGGTGATGGGGATTGCAGAAGATGTGGGTAATGGCGGGTGGTAATTGCTGCGATGATGTAAATAATGCTGTTCCAGCAGATCGTCGTCGTCTTCTGTTATTGTCGGGGAGTAGTCGCGGGGAGCAGGAATGGCGGCAGAGATGTTTGTATTGCTGTTGCTGTTGGCGTGTTCGATGCTGGCGAGAGAATTGGCGTATGAGAGAGGTGGTGTTGAGGTACGCGGTGTTTGTTGGAAAGGATGAACGAAGCTGCCGTTTCGCTGGCCACTGCCACTTGTAGCAACACTAACGTGGGAGGTGCCGCTGGTCGATCGAGCGTGGGAAAATTTGCTCCTTCCGTTGTTGATGCTGCCGCTGTGGTGAAGTTCGGTGGCCGAGATGCTGAAGCTGACGTCCCTTCCTCCAAAAGATCCTTCCCTCTCTCGTCCCAGGCTGCCACCACCCAAACTGCTCCCATAGTTTCCAAACATCGTCTGCTGCTCATCCCAACCACGATCCAAATCCAACGAGTTCTTTTCCGAGTGCGACAGCTTTTTCAGTATCGGCTTCACCACTGGTTTGCTTCGCGACTTGGACAATTTGCCCGGCACCGCTGCGCCCGTTACATCTGTGTACGAAGTCATCGTTGCTGACGTTGTTTACAGGCAGGCTGCAACCTCATGCACAGGGTTCTTCCTCTTTGGTTCTTGTCCTTTCCTACGCTCTACTACTGGCAACGTCGCGTGCTGCCTCTGTCGATCGCGGCGGCGGCTTGCTTGGCGGATCAAGCTTTTTCTCTCGACCAACTGGTGATGGCGATGGCCAGACTGCCAGACTGCCAGACCGGGACGAGTCCTTCACCATGCAGGCCGGGGCCGCAGACCGACACCCCAGTCTCTCAGAGACGACTCTCTTTACAGCGACGATGATCACCGGACGCGATGCATGGATCGGGCAATGGAGATACGCAATGGCGACAAAGGCGACGGCAGCGGCGACAACGGCTGCTATGGTTCGATGCCAAAGACGACGCGATGTGTCTGGTAAGGACTGTAAGCAAATTTAAATCCACCGAGGCGAAGAAGCGGCAGTCATGTCATCCAACATACGGTGAGACTTGGACCCAGATGGGAGGGGGAGCGAGATGAGCGGCGCCGGGGGGGGGTTATCTGGGCGAGATGAAAGGTGGGAGCGACAGGCTGACGCAGCGGAATGGGCGGAGTCCCCAGGCGGATGGGATGGGATGGGACGGGATAGGATGAGCGATGGAGAAGAGTGTGTGGCGGTCGTCTCGGCCTGCCTCACCTTGTCGTTTTCAGCAGACACTGCCCACGCAGAACTGATTCAGCGACGGCAAGGCCAAGAGGTCGTCGGCTCAACCCGAGTGAGGGTAGGCCAAGAGCGACTGTCGTTGCCGTCGACTTCGCCGTTGTCGTCGTTGTCGTCACTCTTCTTCACCTACTAACGCTGTTGCTACGTCGTCTTCGTAGTGCTGCAAATGGCAGTGTTCCTTGGGCAGTGGACGACAGCTACGGTCTACCTGCTCCAGCGGAGAAACAAGATGAGGGGAGGGAAAACGCAAATGGGGAAACGAGACACAAGAGTGACAAGACACCTCCCAAGCAAGTCAAGTTGTACAAGGGCCAACACCGACCGTCCGCATCGGCACCAGGGAACAGCGAGCCCAGGCCACCGCCAAAAAGTGCGCCGAGCATCCGCAACCCGCTTGGCTACGCCTGAATCAGCCTCATTCCTTTCCCAACTGGCATGGAGCACGTGGGGGAGACCAAGAAATGCGCCCGGAGAAGGATTGAGGGCACCGAGCTGGAGCGCGAGACTTTGACATGGAAGAAGGAGGGGTTACCCTTCTAAAGCGGAAGCAGTGGTGTGGCGTCGTTTGGAACTTTTAGCCCGCCGGGTTTTTAAGGTTACGGGCTCTCAGGACAGGCCCAGACGGCTCAGCGTTCCAAAGGTTGCTTCCGGAGTGTCTTGCCTCAGGGAGCGCGGTCGAGATAAGTTTCTTCTCGCTATATCTCTGGCTGGCTGACTGGGTTGGGTTTGTTTACAACGAAGCGGATATGTTTTGTTGATGTTGCGGCTTTTTCCCAGGGTCTGTCCCCGAACAAGGCGTTACCGGTGAGGTGAGAGAAAAGGCGGGCTCGTGGGCCTCAGGTGACCGAATGAGAGGGCCTGGAGAGGTGAGGATGGAGACTGGAGAATCAGAACTAGTGAATATTATCTGGGTCCGGTTCCGGTGTCGACCGGGTGGAACAGACGGGGATTTGACGTCGGCGATGGCAAAGAAGCAGGGCAAAGCGAAGCCGTGCAAGCGATGGTGTGAAGGGGGCCTGCGAATCTACGGCCACCGCGCCGAGGACTACTACTGTGTATGGTGGAGAGCACGGCATTGGCACTGGTGGTGTTCTCGCGTTGGCAGAGAGGCAGAGGCAGTGGCAGTGGTGGCATTGGCATTGGCATTGGTTGCCTCTGCTGAGCTTTCTGTTCAACGCCGAGCGCAGTCCAAAGGAGAACGTGACCTACATACACGAACAAGACTATCCCCTCAGTCTCCGGGCGCACCGCCGCACACAAGCACGCGCGCAAACGCAAGTACTGCGTCTAGCAATCCCACGTTACCTTACGCCCAGCCAAGGCCGAAGCAGGAATGGAACAGCGGACCAAATAACGGTCAGAGATTGATGGGATGAGATGGGATGAGATGGGATGGACGTCGTGGGTTAAGACTGTGAAGGACGAGAAACCCAGTCTCCCCGTCGACGGCCTTGCTCTGCAGTAACGGCACCAACAAACGGCTTCTCGCGCACACACTGACTAGCACAACCTTACACCACCAACCCCAACTGTGTGAGAGACACACGGCGGTTGGCAGGTCACCCTCACCTTGTCCTGCTTCGGGTCGGTCTCATCTAAACACCCAACTCGCCGATTGCAATTTCCCAATAGAATACCTACCTACCGGTATTTCGCGCGTGGCGAAACCAGAACCTCGAACAACAAGAAAGCTTTCAGGAACATCTGTTTGCGGATGCAAGGCACAGCGGCCCCGGCCACAGAGAGAACAAGACGAAGCAGAAAACGACATGCTTCAAAGAAGAATGCCGCGAGACACAGGCCGTCTGGGACACAAAGTCGACCCCATCGTTCTCGAATTGAAACAGAGCTGCATCAAGGTAAAAGGCTACACTCTGCGAATGAAAACGCTCCAAATCCCACGTCCCGGCACCCATCCCCAGCCCCCCCCCCCCCCCCCCCCCTCCTTCAATAATCCTCAATTCCTCATGCGCTTGTCCACTCACCGTCTGCAGCCCATTCCTAGTCGGGTTCGTGGTTCACGGGATGTCCTCCACATGCGAACGAGGGCGACGAGAAGGAAACGGGGCAAAGTGCTCTCTCCGGCAAATCATCTTCACCGTCACTGTCCATCACCCACCACTTGCAAACGCCAGACTCTCATGAATCAACATGAATCTCCGGCCCGAATGCCAGGCTCACCCACACCCCCACAATCCTGCATCCTTTAGAGATGACGCTTGCTTTCCCCCAATCACCATCGCCAAGTGCCTCACCACCAATGGTCCAATATTGTGTCCCAGTGTTGCAGGACAAAGCTTGCCTCTCGTATGCTTATTATATCTGCTGTCAACGTCAATGGTCGCCCAGACCAAAGTCAAAAGTTCAGAATTATTTCCCTCTTGAGTCTGGATTCAATCTAGCACCCCATGCCTTGTTCGTTGCCAAAGGCACTTCCTTGACATGGCAAAACTTCAAGAGACATCCGATGACGATGACGAGCCTCGGGCCGCTTGGTGGCAGCAGCAGCATACAATCTCGCCCAGGACTAGCATTAGGACATGATACGCCCAGTATCGGTCAGCAACATCGACGATTCAGCAGCCTTCGTACGTATTGTTTTCTCGATATGTGGGCTGGATCATTGATGCTGCCACCACCACCACCACCACCACCACTACCTACCTACCTCTAGCAACTCCAACGCCAACGCCAACGCCAGCGTCAACGAAATTCCTGTTTTGCTGGCATTCCAGCTCTGTTCTCTGACAGGCTGCTCCCCGCACAATACCAACCTGCAGTTGCACGAATCAAGTCGCTCGGCCAGCTCAGCAAGGTGAAGCGACTGTAGGGCCACCACCAACCACAACCCTTCCTGCTCGGACTCTGTGGCATGTTTACCCCGCCACCGAGACGCCTTGCAGATAAATGTCGAATCCTCCTGGAATTCCAAAAACAGAACCCGCCCGGTCTTTGTGCATACTCGCTTAACCATCGCCAGAATAAGTTTGGAAACTGGGATTCTTCCGGTACTCCCATCCAACGTCATCACTGCGTATTGGCAGTAGTCCTCCGCTGGCACAGGTAGCCACAGATGCGCCGCAGTCGCAAACATGAAGCCCAGAGGCATTTAACAGCGTCAAATCCAGTGAAGAAGAAAAAGACCAATCGAATAGCAAGGCGGGCGATACCCGCGGCCACACATCCGTAAAACTCTCACCATTTTGATGGCTTTACGGCGCTGGTCTTTGCCCCACTCTCCTCCGACCCGGTCCCTCTCCCCGACAATGCCCATCTGAACTCAATCTTGAGTTGCATCTTCGAACCATGTTTCGACCAACTGCACAGATGTTGCGACCAACCTCGCTCGGACTCGAGGGAAACCCCGGATCCTGAGTGGTCAAAGATTTCCGAACCGTGACATTATGGGCCTTCGACCGGTCTCGACCAGCCTCCTTCTCATCGGAATTCCATGCCTAGCACCGAGAGTGAATATGATAATGCAGGGTGACAGTCTGAAGACAGCAGTCACCGCAAGGCTTCTGATCCAATGACTGGATGCTGAAACCCACCGACAAGGCAGGAGACAAATGTTGGTTCTGCGACCCCTTCGTCTATTGCAGTCCTTGGCTTGCTTACAGGGGCCTATCCCCCCTCTTCTCGATGAACATACGTGCATGTCGGCGTATGTACGTACGGGGACTATCTGCCAGCCCGCAGTGTGAGAATATCTGAAAATAGCCCCAGCCGCCGCTACATTGCTCTTCCCCCAAAGTCCCCTGCCCCGACGGGGTACGGGTACGTCCGGCGGCGGCGTTGGTCCCAGCTCCGGCATAGTTGAGCTTTTCTTTTTTTTTAGCCGAGTATATCAAGGTATCGGACCAAACGGATTGTTTCGGTTATTCCAGTCTTCATCGCTTTTAGGTCGTAAAGCGGTTCATCGGAATGGGTTATCTGGGCATGAAGAAGTGGCACTTGTACCAACATCCATATGCTTAGTTGCCCAGATCCAGCTGAATCCGTCGACTGCACCTGGATGACAAACTTGGCATAGCAGAGATGAAGATTTTTTTTCTTTTCTTCACCCACTAATGTGCTATCTTGAGAAGATCTTGGTCTCAGCTAGTTCGGCCCTCGGTCCACGGGATGTTCCTTGCTCTTGTTTCTTTTGGTGTAACGATCGACATCGCTTCCTAAGTGTCCGTACTGCTGCTACCTAAGTATTGCTGTTACTGTCGCTAGCTGGTTGGTCCCTGATGATCAGTTTCCCCGGACCGGAACGAGTACCTACTACAAAGGCTAGGATGTCTTGGCATTAAAAACATCCTAAGAAAAGCTCATATTTTTGCCTCACATATGTTGCCCCTTTTTTTTTTTAGTTAGGTTCGTTAGGGAATAATGAGTACCATCGTTTGTCCAAATTGCTGTAGACTTCAGGACGACAGAGCTCAGCTGTTGATCCCGACGGCTGGAAGAAGTTTTATCATCACCGTTATGCGTGAATATAGTAGCTTAGAACGAAAGTGTATTGCGGGGAAACGAGGGGGATGTATACTGGATCCTAGGCCTTTTGTGTCAACATCACACAGTCCCCATAGAGATCAACCCAATGGCTCTCTGACCCTTTTTCCTTTTCGAAACACCGCTAGGCATTCCTGTTTCGTTCATATGCCTTTATAACCTTACATATTTAGGCATGATATGATGCTAGCTCAGGGAGAGACTGTTTATGCGTTGATAATTTAGGGCGAACCAAAGATAGTACAGTGATGGGTTTGGTTATGCAGATCGTTAGAACGACGTTCCAAAACATTGGTTTGCTTGAATTTCGTATGCCATGATGGACCTGCGCGAGCTTAGTGATCCTGGCATTCGGTGGTTTTCTCGCGAGTGTCTCTGGTTATTTTGATGGCATGGTATTCTTATTACGTCTGTCTTGCGTGAAGTCGTCGTGTCTGACATGCGACGGTGACAAGTCGGCATCTTGTTTTCCACGACGAATTGATGACACGGGGCTTCTCTACAGAGGATTGAGCCTGTGCCATTCGAGTTTCCTTCCTTAGACTTGCGAATTATTCGATTGTAATACTGGATTAAGGCAGCGTCGTGCGGTTCGTGATGTCAATGTCTTGCGCCTTTTCTCTAGGATCGGCGGTCTCGAGACGTCTATGCTTCACTCTGACGAGTATCGTCGGGCTGCTGGTGTTCACACAGATGCCACTGCTAACATTAAACCTTGCCACGATGCAGCATGAGTGGTAGTCTGTGATCGAATAGGGGAGGAAACCCGTTCAAAAAAGGCTGGGACGGCGGTATTCGATGACACCTCACAGCTAAAGTGATGGGCGTTGGGAAACTGTTTATATACTGACTTGGCGAGGCAGAAGAAGATGTTACCCTACCCGGGCACAGGTGAGCTAAATCATTATCGTACTATCTAATAGAAATGCGCATAAAAAAAGAGTTCACCACCGGTGTGGCTACTTCTCTTGGTGCACATGCTGGGACTCGAACTCGGGAGCCTGTCGTCGAGTAGGCTCGTGGGCGTATAATCGATTGTTGACCATGAACCACTCCACCACCTAGCTAGTTTGTCCTGACCCCCCGACCTAGAGGGGCGCCTCCTGGCTGGTGACGGGAATGGAGTTGAGGGGGTCTATATGGGCTTGTGGTTGTGGTGTATTGTGGTGAATATACGGTACACGTGATGATTCACCGGGTAGGTGAGGTGGTCGACCTATGCACCTCGCTCCTTCCACCATAGTGGTAGTGGCAAGATGAATGATTCACCAGCCCGGGCTGAATCCTCAAGATAAAGGTCACCTAGATACTCGTGTAAGTCAAAAATTTGTGCCTCTACTGAATCTCTTCCGACTTCCTCAAAAGACGAAAGCCTGCCTGTGTCTTTCGCATGACGCGGGAATTTGCCTGCCAAGCTTGACCAGCCTCTGACCGCTCGTGTTACCTTCTTGGAATACGAAATGCCGGAGGGTAAATCTGGGCTTCTATTCATCTCTGGACTCTATACTCCTGAAGTACCTCTTTCCACAGGGGAGGTCTCTCTTCAGCCCGTGACCTGCCGGCAGTATGGTCTAGTAAGCCTAAAGTACTCCGGTTGATCGTAATCTATCGTTCTTCTGCTCTCTTTCGAAGGGGCTATATCCCGAATGAAGCTTCAGGTTTCCGTCGGCCTTACTAATGGAGCTGGCCTTAGACATCAGATCACCCACGTTGACTAGGTACGAAAGCATGATCATAGCTCCAACACACACCCCGGGATCATGTTGTATGCTGTCAGTCACTAGATTTGCGTATCTGTCGTATGCGGCGTAAACATGAAGCTCAAGGCTTCTGGTGTGAACGGCCTGAGTTGGACTGCCCTCTCGGCCCCTATGTCTGTGCCATTGCAAGTGAGAGGGCGAACTGCCACTATTCGCCTTCGCTTGGTTCACGTCACGTGGAGAAAGCAAGGAGCTGCGATCAGAGGTGTCATCCATATACCCAAGAGAGTTGAAGCCAGAGAAAGTATATACGTCTATCATAAAAGTGGGTGGCAGCAACTAGTAGATGCTGTAAGTGTATTACATATTGCTATGCAACACAGAGTATTTGGTCCACAAGAAGGGAAAAGAGAATGCGCAGAGATGCAGCTCCTGGATATCAGTTACTACACACGTAAGCCTCCGTCTATATTCGATATATCAGTCAACACAACAATGCCCAGCCGCCCGCCCCTACGTAAATGATACAAGTCCATCTCCATCCTCGACAAGCACCCTTCTCCATCCCCCTCAACCCCAAGCGATATCCACACCGGTGAGGAGCACATCACTGATAAATGACGAACTCGACATGCCACAAGAAAAAAGGCCGTCATGTGTTTTCCTCACCACAGCCGACGGATGGGTGGGAAGGGGCTTACATCGGTGAGTAGGGGTCGAAACGCGGGGGTGGTGGTGGTGGTGGTGGGCTGTTGGCTTTTCGCTCGGCTAAGCCGAACCGCAGTGAGAAACCAGCAAAAACAGCCCGGAGAAACAACCCCACGCTTTTACGGCTTGCGGCTTGCTGCTCGCTTCGCTTCCCCCCTTCCCACCCCATCCCCTCCCCTCTGACTGTCGTCCCGTACGGATACATGGCACCATTCGCTTTTCGATGGCATACAGCCTTCACCGATGTTGCCTATTCCAGCATACCGGTCAAGCCCAAAAAAGTGTACCCGCTGGGGGGATGGAGTGAGCCAACTTTTGCCCCCCCTCCCCCTCCCCCCTCCCGGTGAGCTGACTTTTGATAAGGGAATGCGGTCGTCTGACCGAGTGGGATATGTATTGTTATATATGAATGATGACAGAGTTTCTCTCTCTAAATACTATGGTGCGCCCAACTTCAAGTTCAAGTATCCGACTTTGTGTTTTCTCTTCAATCTTCTTCGTGCCGAAATACCGGAATGCTGACCTCGAGCTATGTCCCTCACGGGCAGTTTCCACCGGTTCTTAACTCACCATCGAACTCGCCCGACTACCGCCTGCCTTCTCGATATAGCTTGACTAGCTTTCATGGATAGCACAGGGAACAGCCCTAGGGCGGTATATCAGACAGGTCCTAGTCTCGAAGCACCTCGCCTCGAAACAGAGTACTCGAACCACCAAGCCGACCATATATGAAGTCTAGAGAGCCATGTACGGGGGAGCATCTTTCGACCTGACGTCTGTTAAGACGCCGTGGGAACCTCGGCACAGCTGGAACTAATGGCCACACCGAATCCTCGACGACGTCGCCTATCCCATCCCCGAGCCACGCATACGACGAGCCGCAAGCCGTGTAGCCAACCGACTCCGAGCCGCTCCTCCTCCCGCCCGATGCCTCGCCGGCATCCGTCCTGACAATCATCAGCCGCAGAGCAGCAACTCCTCCCAGGGGGCAAGCAAGCAAGAAGCTGACCGTCCGTCCGTCCGTCCGACTCTCAGCATCGAGCGCCGTCCATCCGCGGGGCCCGCCTTGTCTTGTCTTCGCCACCTCCTATCTGAAAGGCGCACGACGACTCTTCGAACGTTGATCTCGCCATATGGCCAACGATATGACAGGTCCCACGCATAACTCCTGCCTTGCTTCGAAAGTGAGCCTGTCAACTACGAATAAGAATAGCAATTCGTTCGACACTTGTCATATCTCGGGCACATATGTACCCTCGGCGAGCACCAGCAACCACCCTCGTACGTCGTGCTCACAGTGGACTGACTCCTCTTTGACAAAGGACGGCGCGTCATCTTTGCCATAGCTGAAGCCGGCCATTGTTTTCCCTTCATGGCTCGCCTTTCAAAGAACCCCCCCCCCTTCGGCGAGGGTGCCAAAGCCCGTTTCACGCAAGGCCCACCTTCACTTGAAAAGACAGACTTACAACGACGCTCACTGGACCCACGTGTAAACTCGGGGCGTCGTTATCTGCCGCTCAAAACAAACGACGTTTTCACCAAGTCCAGAATCATCGTACGAGGGGGCTTTCTCGGCCCCCAGAAACCGATAAACTACCATGGGTGCAGGTGGTCTCCTGGCGGTCCCAGTCTGGCACCAGGACGGGACGCACTTGCAGAGACACCCCGTGTAGACGGAGCATATAACCTTGTCTTAGTACACGGGCTATTCGCGTGAGAGTTGGGGTTTGAATAGGGCTCCAGGGTGAAAGATGTACCCCCGAGGTAGTCTCCTGTAGCCCCTCGAAGTCGTCTTCGAAGCTGGCTCTTGCAGATCCGGATCCTTCATCCCAGAATCCACGGCATGCCCGCCAGTGTACCCGAGACGAATCCGGTAAGCACTTCGAGGAATCGGGGTCGATGGTCCGAGGACCTCGCCAGTAATCATCGTGAGAACGACTCTGGGCTGCGGGGAAGGGGTGGCGAGAGTGGAAAAGGTTGGCGGTGATCTCGAGTACACCTCACGAGGTGGACAGGGCTCGAGATAGCGTGAAGGGTCGATTTAGGAAAGAGCAGGACGCCAGAGTCACTTGACAAGTATCCCATGTTCTTGAACGAGCCTACCAGCGGCTGGATCGCCCTGCCGTGCCTCCAGGACACGAATCGCTTAGATCCCATGGCTGTCGAACTCTAGGGCCGCAGAAGATAGGCTGAGACAGCCTGGAAGAAAGTCCCCGAGGCGTGTCGAGCTACTCGTTCCTGACGAAAGAGAGCCTCAATGTGGAGGTTTGACTGACCTGGGGCAAAAGGGGCGAGCCCTAGGCATGTCCAGGTCGATGGCTGAGTCCTTCCATGCAGCTCCTATCGTTACTATCCTGGAAAAGAATTCTATCCTTGGCGTAGCAACCAGACTCAATGGCACATCATCATGGATATTGTGTGATGAGAATGACGCCTTGATGAGTCCACGATATATCGAAATATTCAGAATAACAAGAGGTTGAAGGAAATCGCAGCCCTACGGACGGTTGTCCGATCGCCCTCAACAGTCATGTCGCATGATGGCACGTAGGTCACCATGCATACTCCCGTGTGTGACTCGAAATCTAAGGGTTCCAGAACCCAGCTTTCAAAAGGCTCTCCTGCTCCTCCTGGTGTGCCGCCCATTTGCACAGCTAGCAGAATCTCGTAGAATTGTGCGAGGGTTTGGCCCTGGTTGCCGTGCCGCTGCGTGTACGACACCATCGGAGGCGTCGTGTGTTACACTGCTGACTTACCGTATAAGAGTGAAGTTTGCGTTCCCCTTGAAGTTGTTTTGAACAATTCCATAGTGTCTAGAAGCCGTTGGAAACTGTCCAGGATAGAAAAGACGACAGCTCATCTTCAGTACTGATACTGCCAAATTGACGATGTCGCATCGACCCCGGGTCCTTGCAACCTGTGAGACATGCGTCAGAAATTGGACAACTCATTACGCTGCCATACATGCACCTTGTGCGTCTGGCGTAGCAAATGGTTGAGTTCATTATGACAGAGCGGAGATAGAATGGGGGAAGTTGCTCACAAGAGTAGTCTTCCTTGGCGGCTGCATGCCCATACGGCGGCGTCTGTGTGGCTCACCAGGCACGGTTGGAGCTGCAATAGGATTTTATCCAGACAAAACAGCAACGGGATTGCATGAAACTGGGAGGTTGGATGCGCATCATCCAAGATCGACTCCTCCGGAACGTGCTTGCCTGCTTCCCCGGGACACGCTTCCCGCACGATTCCACCCATACCACCATGCGCTGTCATCAGGGCCTGGATCCATCGCAGGCCGCGTGGGTGTATGGATCATCCGGATATGGAATTGAAGCCTGTCTAGGTAGCCTTCCATGAGGGTCATACCTCGAGCGTCCTTTGCGGCACCCAAACGACTGGGGCCTGATGTACGATGACGGAGAAACGGTTAAAGAGAATCACATAAGCCGCAGAGGCCCAAGAGGGCTGCGCAGAAATGTCGGGGAGAGACGGTAGTCGCTAAGATGATGCTATGAGACGTGAGGGTGAACGAGAAGTGGACCAAAATACGGCATCTCATGGTCGACAAGAAGTCTGTGACCACCACAACACCCAGAAACGATTAGAACATACGGGTTCTTGGCTACATCCAGATAGAACGTTTACTCCGAGGGGTGAAGGGTGCCCGCAAGTTACGAGAAATTCATCAAGCTGAAATTCTTGTAATGCAACTCTTCTACTGGCATCAGGTCATGGGGATCCGGTGGCTTGGGAGCGGTTGGGGCGCCTCTTTCAGAAGGAAACGGTGTTCTATCTCGCTTCTTGGCCCAGATATTGACGAATGCCGGCTTGTAGCGCATCCGGTCTGCCGGCGCAACTTGCCCGCAGTTCCGATGTTGGCCACCATGAGGGTTGACTGCAGAGCCGGTATCAATGATGGCAAGCCCGACAGTTGTGTATATTACACTGCATAGTGCAGGGACCTTGACACTGTGGAGTCGGCGAACCGCTGAGATGTGAGGTGTTCATGCCAGCTCTGATCTTCCCTTGGTTTTGGTCGCATCAGATCGCGATCTAATCAGGCCACAAGATAGCATTGCGCCCTATGAAATCAGGATACTGAGTTTCGAAGGTTGACTTGACTTCATCTTCGTCTCGCGCTGAGCATGTCGCGGTTCTAGGGTGCGTCATTGATAGGATTCTGTACGAGGAGCTTGTAAGCACGTTCAAAATAGATGTGTATTTGCAATACGGACGGCACCTGCGACTGTTCTGTAAATACATGACAGCTCACAAAGTGACAGAAAGCCACCCTCTCAGAGGCAGGAATGAAGTCGCCAGACGATATGACAGTGTGCATATTCATGCCGCGACTCTATGCAGAGTTTTCCGAGTGGGTTCAAGCTTCGTTCCAGTCCCCGTCGAGGGAGTGTGTGAGCATAGGCAAGACAGTGGACCCTGAAGAAACCGTCCGACGGAGTAGAGCGATGAGTGAGGTTGTGTCACATCCTTCCTCTGCCTCAAATCCAGAGGGGGAGATCCGTCCGTTTGCCGGCTCGATTTTGCAGAGGTCTTTCTGGGGTTTCAAGTTCTTCTCCAGACCATAGTAGCGCGTAGAACCCAGCAAGAGCATGCTCTGTCCAGGAACAGGATCCTCTTGGTACGGAGCTCTGTTTCGAACAGCTGCCTTGTTTATTCGTACAAGCTGTTGCGAATTTGCGGCTGCTAGTTGTGCGGACAGTTTCCGGGGTCTTGATTTTCAGACGTTTCTCAGTTGACGCCTGCACCGTGCTAAGGTCCGTGTGTCATCCGAACCGGGTGGCCGTGGTATTCTTCAAGCACGCCAGGAGAAGTACATGGATTGTTGTCCGAAGGAGCTAAAATATTCTGGGGAGATCCCTGGTCTCTGCCCCAGAGTATCAGTCGCGATTTGCGCTCTAAATTAACAAGGGAAAGCGACGATCTGCTGCCCCGGGCATAACGTCTCCGTGAGCCTCGACCCTTTGAGGTTGACTAAGGGCGGGCGACGATGCGTATAATAGGGCACGTAAGGCCTCTTTTTGTGGTCGACCATGATCCGTTTATCCATGGCTCCGATGCATCCCTCGAACACAGTATTGGTGATATAGCTAAGACCGCTCCAACATGCTTGTGGCCTAGAGGCAAAGGACTCGATCAAACTTGCTATGGCTCATACGTATCCGTAGCACGAAGACAGAGAACAAGCAATCAATCTTTCGTACCTCTCTGCGCCGGAGCGTTCGCCCTCTTGCAGAAAGAACCTGGCTGCGGTGCGGGAAAAGATAGCGAGGCTGGGCAGGCTGGCGATTAGAGAGGGGGGCTGAATGCATGCACCGATGTAGGTACCCCTCGTCCACAAACTTGATCCTGGGTCGCATGTCTCGAGGACGGAGGTCCCGCTCATGTCGGCTCGGCCTGGAGGCGTGCGGACTGCGGAAAGGTTGACGAGGGGCTTATCCCGCAATCAGCCGGAGTCGCAGGCTGCCCAGAATCGCACGAGAAGCCATGACTCGCAGTGGCCACTGAGCCCCAACCTGTTTACTTGACGACTTTTCTGTGTCAAGTCATGCTGTGGCCGACAAGTTGGCTAGTGGATTATTTGTATCCGTACGATGGGTCGTTTTAATTGCCGTCCAAAGGGCCAATGCAGTTCGACGTACATCAACAGGTGCGGGTCTCCATTGACGGTGGTCCTGCAGACAAGTCTCGGCAGTACAGTAACAGTGGCGATTGTGAAGCATCGACGGCAGCTCTGCCATGCGAGATTCAATCACTCCAATTGCCCTAATTTCTAAGGATGCTGATGGCGGAATGTGATGGAAGACCAAAGGCTCGGACCCAGATTCGGGCCCATTCATGCTTCTGGAATCCAACGCGGACGACGAACAGCGACAGTGTTGCGACTGGCGTAGTGGCGTTTGGTATGACTGCACAGAAGCCGGGATGGCATCCATTGGCTCGGTAGTGCATGGAATTGGAAGCAGAGGCATTGGGTGACGGCATGTGGTTGACAAAGTGGTGGAATCAGATGCCAGCCAAGGCGTCGTAGCCGACCAGCATCGTACCGGAGGGTGCGGCGAGCCATTGAACCAACGCCCAAGGACGTCGTAATGTCGAGCTAACGGCGAGCTTCCCTGCGACGGTGATCTGTGGTGGGCTCTTAGCAAGTTCCCGATGGGGCCAGATGCAGCGCACCATGTCCCTCCTCTACTCGATGCTGGTTGATGGTGATCGTCGGAGGGCGTAATCATCCAAAGTAGGCACAGTAGCTCCCAAGAGGCACAGCAAGGTACTTTGTTGACACACGCCCGTGCTGTTTTCAAGCTGGCGCTCAACGGCCCCGTTGCGACGAGGCAAAGACGGGATACTTTGTAGATTGTCGAGCAATGGAAAGAGCAAGGTATTCTCTCTGACGGAAGCTGCGGCTTGAACGAAGGCGGCGGCGGCGGCTGGTCGTGGTGAAGATGGCATGATTAATCCGTAAGCGGACAGAAGATGGATACGCTTGATTGTATCCGTAGCTTGTTGCACGATGGTCGAGGACCGGAGGAGTATCGTGGTACGGTAGTAGTAGTACTCGTATACGGATAATGGGTTAGCCAGGAGCGGACATTGACTGACTGGCATCCGTCCACGGCCGGGCTCGCCAGAGGCAAGGAAGATGGGACGTTCCGGGGGTGGTTCATTTCGAGGGGCTTGTTGCCGAACGGCGCATGCGGCCGCCGGTTCCATTGCGTACGGGACAGGAGGCCGAGGCGAGGCGAGGCAAGATCTGGAAATTGCAGCAGTGACCGACCGTGGGAGAAATAGAGTATGCTGCCGCCTGCGAGGTTGAAGACATCCATGCCTCTTGCATCCGTATCTCAGCCGAGCGTGGAGGGGCACCAGGCGTCACCTCGCTCGCTGTCGTCCGATGCTCATTTTGTCAGGTCGAAGGCTAGCAAGGGCTGGCTGATGGACGAAGTACCATAGCGAATGGTGTTGTCTGACAGATAGGTAAGCGGCAAAAATCATGCCTGGTGGGAGATGGCTTGTAAACTGTGAGACAGACCAGAGAGGATTCTAGGTAAGCAAGGTAGCTGAGCAACCTGTGTTGAGTTACCTTAGCTAGAGAGCAGCAGTGTAAAGGAACAATCTACCACCTCTGTACAAATGAGCAGCCAAGGCGCATCTCCTGAGAGAAGGGAAGTGACAGATCGCTCTGAAGATAGTCGACGGGCGAATGATGTATGCATCAAATCAACTTGGGCTTGGGGGGCGGGAGGAAGCCCATGCATCACTCATTTAGCGGCAGGCGCAATGTCCCTCGCAGCAGCCGAAAGAAATTGGCATCCGCGGCACAGAAGCAAACGATTGATACATTGCGTGGCCAAGAGGCTAGTATTTTGAGAGTACGTCAAAGGTCCCTTTGGGTCGACAGACATTCGTTCTTGTGGCTATATTTCTTCAATATCCGTACCTGAGCCATTCTTGTTGACACCTCATCTTCCTACCTAGGTACTCTAAGATGGTATAGAATGGCGAGAGCCTCATGTAGCTTACCTAAGGCAGGCAGGTACCTACTCGGATTCATGGACACATGAGGGAAAGATTGAGGCAAGGGCAGGCTCGGAATCCGGGGTAGGAACGTACTACCTTACCTTATGGAAGGGAGGTGCACCGTGCAAGGCAGGAGGAGCAAGGCAAGACCGGGGAAGACGGACAGACACTTGCCCGCCTTGGGATCCGATTGTCGAGGCAAGGTAAGGAAGGTAGCCACTCTGAGGTGAGCTTGTCGATGAAGCTTCCTTCCCTACGTGCGTGCCTCCCAAAGGTACCTCACCTACCTTGCCTCGACTTCCATGGGAACCTCCCCCAAGGTACCTTGCCTGCCTTCCGTACCTACCTGCCTTGCCTGCCTCACCTCTTTCCTCACGATGGAAAAGAAAATGGAAGATAACCACGCAATCGTGGTTGGGACCTGAGCCACCTCACCACACGCACCCGCTCTTGCACACACACTTCCTCATCTCACATCACATACCTTACATACGAACACACCCAGTTTGTTTGCCCATCCATGGGATGGACAATGGATGACCATCCTCAGTCCCATCCTCAGATATGGACACCACCGGCTGTGGTCCAGGCCACCCCTCACGCCGAGTCAACTGTTCACTTGCCTCACGTCACATTCCACCTTGTTCCGTCCCGCCCTCACACTCGTTTATCATTGGCATCTCTACCTAGTCGTCACTGGAGCCGCTAAGGCCCGGCCTTCTCTCAACCGTCTCCATCCAAGACATTCAATCATGAGGTGCCAAAATAGACTGAGACATGTCCCGGCAAGTCGCTCCAAAGAGCCACTCAAGCACTCCATGCCCAGCCGGAGCCACTCACAGTCACGCCTACACACGGCAGGCAATCTTGCCATCTCAAATCTCACATCTGTATCCGTAGAGTGTATATACTATACAACACTTGGTATGCTGAGGTACTCTTCAGACTTTTCCCGGTCTTTTGTCACAAACTAAAGATGCTAATCCTGATACTAAGGTCCGGCCTGCAGTTGCGTCTATCACACTATCTCCATCTTCCCGCCCGCCTTGATGGAATGTCTCTCCGCCGCTCCGCCGCCTCCCCCAACCACAACGGAGGATCGACTCTGCCAATATGCAATCCATCTTCTTTTCCCCTCCTTTACTTTCCCCCCCTCATCGTCCATCAGTTTCCTTTTCTTCACTAATGCGTCGCTCTCAAGGTACCTGCAATACCTTACTTGCTTGTCTAGCATCCCCCCCCCCCAGGTCGATTGAACAGATTGACAGACTCGGGATCTGATCATGGCTCATTGACGAGCTGCACTGCACCCGCACAATCCTCAACGGCTTCACCAAACAGGGCACCCGAATGTGGAAGCCGTTGCCGAACGGCCGATCCGGCTGCCACCTCCAGCCCCCGTCACCCGTCTGCCCTCAATGTCTGCGAGGCAACTCCGGGCCCACGCCATACCATCCCAAAGAGCATGCGATTACGGATACCCATCTTCTCTAGGAAACAGGCACGACGTCCTCCCGTCCTGATGCGGCTAGTCTTCGTCTCTTCTTCTTCGGCTCGTGTTCAATCGAGATCACGACAGTCAGACATAAAGCATCTACATGCTCTCGCACACCACACCTAATATGTCCATCCACATGCTGCCTCGTCCTTGTCGTCTCCTACATACACCATGCGAGTGCTTTCTGATGTCAGGCCCGAAATTTTGAAGGATGGACTGATCAATGTCTCACGCAAATGCAAGTAATTCGCAACTTTTATCAATTCTAGGGTCAAAATCAGGTTCGCGGCTTCATGGCTTGCAGCCTGCAGCACGACGGTCCGGCCTGATGTGGCCTGCCTCTACTAGACTCAAGAAAGACTTGAATGTCAAGGACCCCGAGATAGCGGCCGGCACAAGCCAGATGCAGCGCCGCATACGACCTGTTTGCATGAAGTGCTGCCTTTCTTCATATTTACCAGCAATAAATGTCATATGTCGCTACGCACATGTTCTTTCACGCAAAACGGTTTGGCTACGCCCTGCTGCTCGGCCGGCACGGAAGCGGTCGCGGCGGGTGTGCCAATCCAGTATCAGTGCATCCCATCCGGTCCGGTCTCTGGCAAAGAATGGGTTCCTGGCCTTCCACTTCCTCCTCCCGTCGGCCACCAGGAATGGGGACGGGAGACCGACTGAAGCCTGCTGATGATTGATGGATACCATCCGCCAAATCTCCACCACCCCAGCACGCACTCCGCAGCTCAGTAGAGCACAGGACAACGCAGCATGGGGGCCAGTGGCTCTTTCGCTTGTTCGGCCCAGCCTGTGCACGTTCTGTCTGGTCAATTCATCCAACCCCAAGCCAAGCGATCTACAAACTACGGGAAATATTCGCGCCTCTTTGCGAGGACGAACCCCGGGGCCGTTATCATCACGAAAACAGCATCCGCCCCGGCCAAGTCAGGCAAGGATCAGGAGCATCATGGAACGTCAACCCTGTCGGTCCGGTCATCGCAATGTGGCAGGTCAGACTGAAGAATGTGAGTGCAAAAGCGACGGCACTGCGTCTGTCACGGTCCTGGCTGCATCATCCATCAGATATCAGAATCTCCAAAGCGACAATGGCCCTCCATCAAGAGTCAGACTCTTCATTGTGTGCTCTGAAAAAGCAGCATTCGAGCAAACCTGGCGTCACCTAGCCTGGCGTATGCCTATTTGTACACAATCGTATGCACCCTCTTCCTCGGTCCTTGACCACCAACCGACGGGTGGGGAAAGGAACAAGGAGTTCGACGGACTGAAGAGTGACAAAGACGAGCGATATACGGATATCTCACGAAGGGTCAGTTGAGGGACCTGCAGGCCCGAGAGATAATGTCCTCGGTACCATTCGAGAGCCCCAGTATGCGGCAGAGGCATGGTCAAGACACAGAAGCCGTAGCAGGCAGAGCCGGATTTAACTCTTGTCTGGCTTCGTACGCTCATCCAAGTCTGGTCCGGTCTCTGCTTCATAATGGGCCAGAGAAAGGACGGGTATCCATAATAAGCAGCACGAATGCTTGTTCATCCGCTCAATGAGACTCCACGCCGGCCGTCCGTTTGTCAGATGCGAAAACTGGAGACTCTACAACGGCCCAGGCCATGCCGGGGGGTTTGTCAGTGCGTACAGATGGCGAGCCGGCGTTTTTCTCATGCCTAGCGACTAGAGGCTGCTTTTCTCCAATTTTTCAGGATTTTACCCCTCCCGGGCATTGCGAGAGTCTGTCTGCGGCTAAGTTGCTCTGCCTATGAGGTTACTATTTCCTACGGCCTACGGATACTGCTGATGCTGTCTTCAGGTTGCTGCTGATGGGCAGGCCGGGTCGGTCATTTCGAAATCCATTCTCTTGTCTCCAAGGTTCCTCTTCCCATGATTTCCCCCAGCTTTCTCAGGTATTGAGCCATCTCATTACCGGGCCGTTGATTCGACCTCGCCTAAAGTTGTTCCGCCAGGCCCTGGTCATTACCCTCGGTCTGCTGCAACTTTTCAGGTCAAGAATCGAGACCATTGACGGAAAGGCTCTGTTCCTGGTCCTTGTCGCCAGCAGCTCCTCCAGAAGCTCTCCACCTTTTGTCTCTGGATGTGCAGATGCCCGGTCGTACTCAAACGAATGATGGAATCTGCCCACCCAAAAAGTGGATCTCCAAATCTCGCCGTGCTGCCATTTTCCACATCAACTAGCCGCTCAACCATGGAGAATGGAGTACGGCAACCAACCAAGGCGAGCAGACCCTCTCTAGTGCGCAGGGTATGGCGTTATTCGCGCGCTACACTAGGCTCTTGCGGCTTGCCAGTCTTACTATACAGTAGTACTACAGAGTACCCATCCCGAAAAGATAAAAGAACAAAATAAAAATAATGTGCTAACCTCTCTTGTGAGTCTTGTCGCTTCTCGTCGCCTCTCATATTCCTCGTCCCCCTCTCTGTTTCTTCAAGCTATGCCCTCATACAGCCTCCACAGGCTGCCGTGTCGTTTCGCTCCCCTCCCCACCAGATCGCCTCCGCCCTGTGATTCGCGTTTCCCCAGTCGCCATTCATAGCGTGATGGGGCCAAGAAGAGGAGGGGAGGGGGGGAGGAGAGGGCAGGGACCAGCCAGCCAGTATCCTCAACTCCAGCCGCCTCTTACTACTATGTCCCTATCGTGTTGTTTCGCTTCAAGGGTCGAGGTTCGAGGGTCCTCGACGATTATTATGGTCCGTGTTCCTTGGTTGACTCCAGCAGTCACCTCCATTCTCGGAACTACCTTACTGCTGTTGCAGGTCAGACAGACATCAACAAGGAAGTAAGACAAGGCGAGAGAGCAGGGTAGCCTGTAGGGCATCAGACCGGATGGCCCCAAATCATGTTTCCCGTTCCTTGACACTTCTCCGTCGACGGCGCGCCGAAGGACGGCCGTCGAGGTGCGATGGGAAACGATGCAATGCGAGGACATATCGCAGCACTACTGTTCGCAAGTGCTGATGCCAATCGGTGCGATGCGTCCATGGGAAGACGATTGCCTGCCCACTGCAGGCTATCTTGATGCTTGCTAAAGAAGCGTCGTCCCAACACGGTGCCACAAAAGCCAGCCTCTGGGCCCCATTTGCACCTGCACCCACCAGGGCCCCAGCCCATGCCTAGCCGGTCGTCAAACCAGCCAGTGTTGGAGACAAGAGGCAGCAGCAGCAGCAGCAGCAGCAGCAGCAGCAGGCGAAGACGTAGTTGCAGTAGTAGCGGCGGCGGCAGACGCAGCTGGGAGGCAAGCAGGGTGGTGGCAGCACCAGAGACACACACAGACGTGCGCACTCACTCACTCACTCACTCACTCAGTGAGAGAGAGGGAAAGACGGGAGTGAGTGAGTGGGTGAGAGGAGGGAAGGAAAAGATACTTGGGTTGCGGTTGTGGACTCTTCCGCTCCAAGTACGCGCAAGTACCTGCTTCGTACTCTGGGAACCCTGGCTGGGGGTCCATGGACTGGGTGGGAGACGATGGACGATTTGAACGCCTCTCTGCCCTCCTCTCTCTCTCTTTCTCTTTTTTTTTTCTGCAACTGGCGCATCTGCACACGCCCCCCTCGCACCCCCATCCATCAACATGCTCACCCCCTCCCCTTCTCCCCCAACCCCGATACAACCGCCGCGCACCCCTCCCCTCGTCTCTGCCCCTCGTCTCTGCCCCAATACCCTTACAGACGAACGTGATGCATGTCTATCTGTAGGAGAGTGAGTGGTGAAGTGTGGTGTAGCTAAGAAAACAGGCCGCGAAGTAGGTGCCAGTCTAGACGAAGTACCTTCAAGACCCATCGGCTTGCCTTCTTGCACCACAATCTTAGACAAGTCCAGTCGACAAGTCCGTACATCCATAATCCATTACCACACATTAGACACATCCATCCATACCTATCCAGTACTTTTTTTGCCTTGTTTGGATGGAGCCACCATTACCGTCTCCATGCATGGGTGCATCTCTAAACTAAACAACCCATGCATGCCTGCCAACCCTCCACCACATCTGGCTACGTATATATCCTTGTCCCTCGCCCCAGGACGACCTACTCTCCTCGGACGACCTCATCACCACTTCTTCTCCCCGGGTCATTGTTGTTTTTTAAAAGACCAATTGGTCCGCGCAATGGTTTGAGTTCCCATTGCCATCTTTCATCTCTGTATAATACTTTGTTTGGACCCCTTCTCGAAATCTCTCCCCTGCCTCCAGCATCCCATACACGCGGCTTGGGTGTTGGTCCTTCCCGTCTTGCCCGTGTCATTCTTTGATACCACTTCCAACGACGGACACAGACAAGGTGCTCTGCTAGTCCGATCTACTACCTCGATCGTTAGGGTCCTTCTAGACAGAAAGGAAGAGACTTGAAGATAGAGCGAGAGCAGGACTTGGCTTCGGAAGCAGCACGACGACACATAGATCGAGCCAAAAAATCTCATCATCCGGGACTTTCGACAGTCATCACCACACACTACTCTAGAACTACGAGCGTGATACCTCGTACAAAGCAGAGCAGATTGGAGATACCACCTAGACTTCTCACATTCACATCACCTTGGGTACCATCTTGAAAGCTGCTGGAAGTTCTCAGGTTGCCTCACCTCAGCAAAACACCTCACACTTCACATCTCGGTCAGAAAACAAAAAAGTGGACCATTGCATCTGAATACGCAACAGACATATTCACCAAAGGGCAAATCCAAGAAGAAGTCACGGGACTCGTTCAATTGACCAAGACGATATTCTGAGAAGGAAGGCACACTCCAAGACCTGGACCTCCTGCCACCTTCCAACCCTTTGAGAATTTCTTCGCACCAGAAGGCACAAAACCCAACTCCTTCTCCCATCCTCTTCTCCTCCTCCTCCTCCTCCTGCTCCTCCTCCTCCTCACCCTCAACAACCAACAACCACGCACGCAATTCCTTTCATCGCGGCTTTGTTGGGTTTTCCTTCACATCACCACCAATCCCTCTTACAACCTCCTCCGAATTACTTCAGAGACACGCACGCGCACTCTCCAACCGCAGGAAGCAATTCACGATGGCAGACATCATGAATCTCTTCTTGCCCAACCTCAGCTTTGGTTGGTCCCCCACCGCCTGGATGTATCTGTTTATCGCCCTTTGGTAAGTCACTACTTCCTTCAGAAAATTCCACCCTCCATTGCTGCTGCCATCAAAGACCTGCCTTGCTTTTTTATTTATTTTTGCCGTCTCGTGTATCTAACCTTCCTTGGCAGGCTTCATCGTTACACCCGTCTTCTTGTCAACTGCGTCAGCCACTGGGTCTACAAGTCCAAGCCGATCCCCGCCAACCCTACCTTCACAGCTGACGACGTGACCGTCATCATCCCCACCATTCACAATGTCTTTGAGGAGCTTCGTCCTTCTCTGCTCAGCATCATCGCCTGCAACCCTCGCGTTCTGATGCTCGTTACTACCAGCGAGAAGCATGCCTCCCTTGAGAAGCTTGCTCGCAGCCTGCCTCACCCTAACGTCCAGGTCTACTCCACTCCCATTGCCAACAAGCGTCTTCAAGTTTGCGAGGCCTTGCCCAAGGTTACCACCAAGCTCACTATCATGGCCGATGATGATGTCACCTGGCCTTCTACTATGATGCCCTGGATTCTCGCTCCCTTCGAAGACCCCAATATTGGCGGTGTCGGCACTTGCCAGAGAGTTAAGCGCGTCTGGGATGGCCCGCTGTCCACTCGCATCTTCAACTGGCTCGGCGCTGCCTACATTGAGAGACGCAACTTCGAGATCTCGGCTACCCACAACCTCGATGGCGGTACTTCCTGCATGTCTGGCAGAACTGGCGCCTACCGATCTGAGATTCTTTCCAGCCACGACTTCCTTGAGGGTTTCAAGACCGAGAAGTGGGGCAAGTACATCCTCAACGCCGATGATGACAACTTCGTCACCCGCTGGCTCGTCAGCCACCAGTGGAAGACTTGGATCCAGTACGAGAAGGAGTGCGAACTCGAGACCACTCTGGAGAACAGCACCAAGTTCCTCTACCAGTGTTCCCGCTGGGCCCGCAGCAACTGGCGCAGCAACTGGACCAGTCTTGTCCGTGAGAGATACGTTCTCACGTAAGTTGAAACACCTATCTGGGATTCCTCCCTTTGCCTGGTATAATATACTAATCCATGGTGACTATAGTCAGCAGCCCTGGTGCACTTACGCTCTCCACATTGCGACCTTCACTTCCTTGGCATTCCTCTTCGACCCCCTCATCATCTTCACTCTGTGGAAGGGTACCGCCGATTGGGATGTCGAGAGCCGCCGCCAGGCCCTCTGGGCTCAGATCATCTTCGTGTTCGGCTTCACCAAGGTCGTCAAGCTCGTGAACCTCTTCCGTCGCAACCCCAGCGACATTCTCTTCCTGCCCGTCTCTATCCTCTTCGGATGGGCTCATGGCATTATCAAGCTCTACGCCTTGTCTACCCTCAAGATGGTAAGTGACTACTTCTCGCACATGACATGATATTAGCTTTCCTAACACCTTGTCAACAGACCTCCTGGGGCAGCAGAGCCGATGGTGACATTAACAACGACATCCGTCTGACTCCCCGCCCCAAGCGAGCCATGAGTCTTACCACGCCCCCTGGTGGCCAGGACCTCGTCCGCTACCGCTTCGAGCGCCAGATGACCGAGAAGGTCTCCGACTGGCACCGCCAGGCCAACGAGGCGCGCCGACCCCAGACTGTCCGCATGAACACCTTCCCTGCGAAGGACATCAAGGCGCCTCATGTCACCTTCTCCCTCCTGGAGCACCCCACGGACTAGATCCTAAGCGACCACGAGTATCACGAATTATGAATTTGCAACAAATTGGTTTGCCAGAGGAGAAACGGGACTCTGGCTTGGGTGGCTTTCTTATGTTTTCTTTCCTGAAGGGCGGAAACGAAGAGGGTTAATCAACCACCCTTTCTTCATTTTCTTTGCGCCTCTTTCCGGAAAACAAAAATTACCGACCCAAAAGGAATTTGGAACGGGAAAAGTCTTATTGTTCTTTCCTCTTCACGATGAGTACACGAACGATCGCATACGGGAAATGGAACCACAGCACAGAAGTGCGTGTCAAGAGGTATAATCATCAACGGCATGGAAACCATTCAGCATGGGAGAGCAGGGATAGGGTGGTTTGGTCATCTGCTTCAGGGATAAACTTTTCCTCCCTGGATTTTCTCAACTCTTGGTCTCTTTTTTTCCTTTCATTTTCTTTATCAAAAACACCCCAAAATCGGCGAGGGCGGAGGATTGGTCTTTGTGATTTCTTTTTTTTCCTTCTCCTCATTTTCAGAAACGAAAGAGAGGTAGTCGGAAAAGGTACATCGCGCGGCGGGCAACAGGGCAGGCAGCTTTGATCTTCGTCGGAGGCATTTTGTTCGATGCATTGCGAGACATGGGAAGTCAGGGAAGACACAGAGAGAGAGAGAGGACGGCAAGGCATTAGACAGTTGGTCTCTACCATTATTCCATCTTCTTTCCACTCAGACCAAGAGACAGCTTTCCATAGACTGAAGAAAAGAAAGCAAAATTTTCACAGTGAAAAACAAAGAAAATGAGGCTCATGAGATTTCCCTGACTCCACTAATGGTCAGTAGTTCATGATTCGATGCGTGATGTCGGGCAGCTGCATACCTTTCTTCAACACAGGTTGGAAAAAGAAAGGGTTACCGAGCCAATGGGAATACAACGTCCCTGCATCCTGACGCACTGGGGGATCGACTAGTTGGATCGGGGGGGGGGCTCCCCAGGAAGAAGAAACGAGCAGCAAGCACGGCGTGTGTCCCGTGTGTCCCGTGTGTCCCGTGTGTCAGGGGGGGAAAGGGAAGGTTGGTGGCATTCGTTACACGGCAGGGTGATTTGACGCGCAGTCTCGTATCCCGCCATGGTGTTGGCCCCCAATAAACGGTTTCCGGGAAACCCGCGATATCTGACATGCGATACTGTATATGTGTGTGTGTGGCTTCTCATCAGGACCGGACCCCACGACATGACCCCCGGTTACACGGCAGGGCCAAGGTATGCGAATGCCTACCTTGTTCACTAATTCTCCGGCCGGAAAGGTCTGGCCTGGCCTCAAGGGCTTCTTCTGTGCCTTTTGAAAATCGAATTTCGATGTTGGGGAGAGGCTGTGCCATGTTCATGCGCGTCGTTACCACGGTAGAGTGGTGTGTGATATTGTCTTACATGACGTCCTTGGTGAGGCTTGTGGGTGTGGAGAATTTGGAGGGGGGTCAAAAGGCCAGACGAGCACGCGGCTCCGGTTTGGCCGTCGTTTGCCGCAAGGCTTGCCCGAAGACGACGAGCTGAGGAATGATAGCGGTTCCGGGTTGATTATTGTGACTCTTTGCGGCAGTGATGGTGTTCTCCTGCTCATCTCGAGTCTTGGACATCGTCCATGTGCTCTCCTGTGGCATTTGGATGCTTCGTCAGATGCGCCCCTCTTGACTCACATCGGGCTGGCTGGGACGACTAGCCTCGTGAGACTGAGTACGTGCGACTAGTTTTCGGTGGTCGTCGTGGTGGTTGCCTTGAAGAATGAGATCTCACACCCACCATTATCAGTTGAACCCTACACCCTCCATCCCTACTAGTTCATTGAACGGTTCGAGACTTGGCTAGATTAGGATGGCTAGCAGGCCAAGCTAAGATAATCGAGCACCCCACACTCAACGGGGGCAACGAGGCAGGTGATGTTTTGAGGGCACGTAAAAAACCCGCAGGGCCAAAGTTCCGGATCGAAGATGTCCGGACATTCGGAGGCAAGAGGTCGGAGTGCCCATCTATCGACCGCTGGTTATCGAGAAGAACCAAGACCTGACTGCTGCGAGCCACTACCCCAAGCAGGAGGTCGACCTTCGAGCTGTAGCAGATGGATGGGTGAGATCGAACACTATGGCGCCCAATCAGAGAGCAGAGGCTCGAACTGTGAGGTCAAGAGGTACAGTACAATTTGACAGCCTTTCCGATGGATTGGGAATCTTGGTTTGCGTCCTTGTTTACGTTGTCAAGCAGCCCGCCCACCTTGTGTTCCGATGCCTGACACGAGGCCTGCCAGGCTGCCCCTCCCCCTCCCTCACTCTCGGACCCCTGGCCTTGTCATTGCTGCAGGTGGACGAAAAGAGGCTTGCTGATGACATAGGTAAGACAGCGTCCAAATCTCAAAGTGTTTCGTAGTGGATGGGATTAATGGGGAACGTTATTCTCGACTCCTCTTGTACGGGTCGCGAAGTAGTATATGCTAGACATCCGTACGCCGGGACCGGGACGGGGGCGAGGAGACGCAGACGCAGAGATGCACGACATGGTACGCATGTTTTGAGGCTTTAGAACCTGCACCAGATCGGAAGAGGGAAACTAATCAAAGGATGCTGTGGAGAGGATAAGAAAAGTACTCACCAAATCATGTTCAAATCTGACTGTATTTCAATACCCCGAATCACCACACAAATCAAAATTTTACAAGTATCGAAAAATTCTTGTGGGTCGAATTGGTGGGATGAAGGTGATTGCGTGAAGTATCCTGGACTCGGGCAGTGTCCATTGATGCATCGCTATATTAGCTCTGTGAATCGTGCGAGTAGCAGTCAGAGCCGGCTTGCGAGAGTTGCGTTGAGAGACATCCATCAATCCTGACAATGAGCTGGTTCCAGACCTTGCTTGCATTTGTAGAGGGGGTTGCGATTGTCTCCAATACCTGCAACGCCTTGATTCATGCCGGAATTCGTCAGTGGTAAATCCGGCATCCAGAGTGAGTTATGACAACATGCGAGGTAGGACCAATGATAGCTAAGAATTGGGTCTGCCGAATGACTTGTTCCTCGATGGAAGAAAATTCTTGAGAAGTTATTTCAAGACTGGCGACTCTTGTTGGTCCATCGAGTGTTCTTCTCCAATTGATGGTGCCACACTCTCCAGCGTGAGGTGATGGGGAGCGAGCCAATGCGACGGCATGAGTCAAGACGCATTGGGGATGACGGCGACCAAGAGCCCGTAGGAAAATCAGCGGGAATACGGCAAGTACGAAGTCGTGCACGAAGAGGTACGCAATGTCGGATAGGCAAGAGAAGGCGATTTTGGTTGGATCTGTCAAATGTGTCAAAAGTGGCGGCCGAGGGTTGTCAATAGACGACGGAGCAAAACCGGGCGAACAGGCTTGCAATGGCCACGGACAAGCGCCGACAGCGCGAGCGAAAAACAAAGGCCTAGATTCGATGGAGACGGGTTGTGGTTCTACGACCTGAGACCAAGGACGACGACGACGACGACGACGACGACGACGATGATAAGACGGCCTTGCTAGCTTGGTGACTCTACCTTATTAGTGCTGGTCTTTCCATGGTGCAGCGGCAGAAAGAGGAAATAGACGTGCGATGATAAGCTGCCGAAGCATACTCACTTGGTACTGCACTGCACTGCGTAGCAAGCAATCATGCATGGCATGGCATGGTATGGAAGGGCGAGCAGAGGGCGACATTCGAGACTTGACGTTGGATGGAACCACACCTCAAGTGCGCACGGCCGATGACCTGTCATGGCCTGCACTGGCGTTATATTATGATTGCCATTTGTCGTCGATTTTCGTCGTCGATGATGAGGTTGCGAAGGACGTTTATCGGCTTGTCACGGCTAGACGTAAGTACTGTCCATGTTGCGTTGACCGGGGAGTGGTGAAATGGCAAAGTGGGTGGATGTTTTGTGTGTGGATTCCAATGGGAGAAACCAAAGATGCCCGAGACGATCGAGGCCCTCGGACGGTAGTGTGGCCAGAGCAACATTAATCAGTGGCTCCTGCCAAAAGGCAAACGGCGAACGGTACGGGCGTTGAGGTACCTTCCAAGTTAGTCAAAGTGTCGCTGCCTTATCCGTAAGGTCCAGATCTCCCATGGGTAGGTACGTATCCGTACACAAGAGTTACGGGCCTGCCACCTTCCGAGGGAACGGGCACTGGCTGAATCTGGTTCCCGATGAAGAACAGCCGCCAAGCTTTGGTAAGCGAACGGATACAAAGTACTTTCGTGCCTCAGGCCAAGGAAGAGAGGAGAAGAGAAGCCGCAAAGGCCAGCAGTTGAGATACCAAGGATTTCTAGGTCAATTCATGACTACCTGTGTGGATGATCACTGATGACGACCTTCGATTCCATGCAGAGAATACGGCGTACGGAAGACAAGACAGGAAAAAAGACGAAGACGACTCTGGTGGGAGGGGCAGGCGACTGTGGAGGAGAAGGAGAACTGGCTTCAGCTGCTGCTGGCTTAGTAAAGCCCGGAGCAGGGAAATGCGAGGGAACTAGAGACACAAAAAAGATACTTGTGGTTTCCTCGACGCACAGGCGGCCGCGGTACCTCCACAGATCAGGCAAGTATCTTTTTTGTTCCAGTCTTGGCGCTCGCCTGTTCTCGCCCTCAACCAACGAACGCCTACAGTTGACAGACGGACCCCAGCGGCTAAGGTAAGGTAGGGCCACAATGTATCTGCGGATAGATTTCATCTCAAAGACAAAATAACCACAGACATTTTTATTTTGGCCTCCCGTCCCGGTGTAGGTACCACAGTAAGGATGGTCCTCGCACAGACAGAAACACCCTACGGATACGGATACAGAGAGAGAGGGAGGAAGAGAGAGAGCCCGGGATGCGGAGACGGACACGCAACCGCAACCGCAGCCGCAGTCGCAGTTGAGGTGCAGTCGCAACTTTCAGTTCCAAGATGGCAATATCTGCAAAATGCAAATCTCCAAGCCCTTCAGGCAAGTCGAAACGCGCAATCCCCTCTCCACCGGCAGTCACATCTCAGCTTTTTCCCTCCTCGTCCTCGCCGACACAACTTCGAACCTCGCACCATCACATCATGTCGTCTTGTGCGGCGTGCCTCCCTTATCCTCTTTGTAGCTACTTGCCCGCTGCGGCGCTGCAACTGCAATCCATGAATCCAGTCCCTTCCCCTCGTCTCCTTCCGCGACTCGGACCAGGAATCAAGCCAAGACGACATGGGCACGATGGGCTTTCCTCAATGTAACCCTCCCCTGCGAGCCAGTGCGCTTATCCGCTTCTCGTCGGACCTGCGTCTGCACCACCCATGCGAGCCAGGTTGCCAGGGTCATCACTTCTTTTCGCAAGAGAACAGAGGGGAGTGCGCGAACTGACCAACCAGCGAAGCAAGCCATGCCTTTTCAATTCTCATCGCCGCCATTCTCTGTCCAGCTCTCAGTTCCACATCAAATCTACGCCATGTTCCGCTCCTCCTACTGTACGAATACACCACTTATCCTTGCTGGGAACTGCCATATACCACAAGGCTACGGATAGACACGTCTGTTTCCGCAACTAGGACCAAGCATCAGTGCACATCACGGCCATCCTCCGCCGCCGCTAACTCGGTCTTTGAACCCTTCAAGCATCTCAAAGGAACCATCACTCTCGCCGCTTCCACGCTAAAATCTTCTTAGCAGAAGGGAGGCTCTGCTCCGTTCAAGCCCACGAGAACTGGTCTGCCTGCCGCAATGCACCTTACGATATGGCAAACTCGAGAAGTACACACTGAACATTTGGGCTATGGCAGACTCGAGCATGGATGAGCAGCGAAGCTCTGCATTTACGACGTTACGATGTTACTGGCCCTGGCTAGCCGGTCGTCAAAGCCTAAAGTAGAAATGTCGCCAACTCAACCAACAAGGCTGACCGAGCACACCTTGCCTCACCTCATCTCACCTTGACAATATCTCTCTGTGCCTCAACACCACTCGAAGCTGTACCATATCAGGAAGCCACATTCCGACATGAAAGTCCCCTCTCCTGGGGCGTCACTGTTACCCATCTTCGCACGAGTCACCATTGCCAGACGGGTCATCAACTTCAAGTTCAGCGCAGCGCCACAGTCAGTACGGATCCGTACGGGCATCTTGCGAGCAAGAAAAAAAACCCTAGCCCTGACCCTCGTCACGATCCTCCGCACGCCCAGAGTATAGAGGCTGATCATGGCCGAAGCTCGGCGGAGTCGATCTAGCCAAGCGGGTCAGCGTCGTCTTCGCGCCGCCCGTCTATCCCGTCTTGCCGACAAGTAGACGGAGACTTTCGGATACTATAACAAAGTACGGGCGTGCTTATTAGTGCTCAACAAATCATCATTTCTGAGAAGCTATATGCTCTCTGGCTACAGATACACTCCATGCGGCCAGGACATCGAATGAAACGGGAATAAGGACAGCATCATTCAGAAGGGATTTGTGCCCCATCTTTGTTGCTAGGCCCCGTTCTGCGACACTGGATCTGCGGCTGCGCAACCATGGTTGACATCAACATGCATCGCAATCGTTCATGCTCGCAGCCCGAGATCCGCCGGGGAAGCACCTCGTGCGATCCAGGCCGCGTCTCGCGCCTGTAGTGCACAGCACTATACCACACCTGCCTGTCAGCAATCTGCTCTCCGCAAACTTTGTCCGTCGCAAGCTCGGATGGACAGGCTCACGATCTTCCCGCCCTCGCGTCGATTCGAGAGGCCTGGTTTGGAGGAGGGGGTGGATGGAGACTTGCTGGTGGGTTTCCTCGACTTTCTCCTCCGTGTCCAGTCAACCCCGCATGATAGTATCATTCCATCACGACATCGACCGGGCCAGCTCTTCTTCAGCGACCAGGGGAGGGGGGGGGCTCCTACACTAAGACAACCCCATGTAAATGTCCAGTGTCCACCACGGATTTATGGGGAACGAGAGCCACGTCAACCAAGAAAATAAGAGAATTGGCAGAGCTCTGTCTCGAAAATATCCCGGCCTAGGAGGGGGAAACCCACTCGCGCTTCTTGGTTCGCTGTAACCTCAGCGCGCACTATCATGCAGGTTCAAGAGGCTCGGAACCAACAGTGGCAGAGGCAATCCGACCCTCAAGAGGTCATCAGCAATCCCTCGATCCACACAAGCATCTTCGGTCTTTGCGAGCCGTTGAAGAATTTCATGTCGCCGCAAGGGTGCTTCGCCAGTTGCTCGATGCCATGTCAAAGTGCAATGGCGAGATCGTCTGATCTTGTCCAATGAGCTTCAGAATTATTGGTAGGTCCGTCTGGGCTACATACAGAGAGCACAATGCGACAACGATTCTTCACAAAACACAAGAGTGACAAGCCTCTTCGTTGGGAAACGCGATATCACGTACAAGAGAAGTCAAAGCCGAAAGAAGTGCGCCAAGCGGCGCTGCTGGTGGACGCCTTGGCCCGTTGGTTCAGCCTATTCGAGCATCTTGTTCACTAGCTGCAGAAAAGGGCGCCATGGATATCCACACGCTATTCATTCACTCACGATGAAGAAGAGGAGGATCCGTTGACGGAGGGTATGCCCAGGACCGATGCCACCAATGGAACAGGCCTTCAACACCAGCCACTTCGAGGTACAAGCGCGGTACTGGACATGTACCCTTCTTGGTCTAATTCAGGGAATGCCCCGGGAATCACCAGGCAGTGTCGACACCAAGGTTCCTGCATCCCGCTAGAGTGCGACAACTTGGAGCCGATGCTTCATTAGCCATCGGCTACGAGCTACTGCTGCTTCAGTGCAGAAATTGTTGAGTTGGTCATTAATTTACTAACCTTATCAAAGCCAGCAGAGAAATCAGGGAGCTTGAGTCTACGGCTATCGAACCAGTCTGGCTGTAAGCTCAATGTTGCCTTTCAGTCCACTGCAAAAGGCCTGCCGTCACAATTCCTTTCCGGCCCCCACGCGATACCACGCCAATTGAGTTGGTTTACGGTAATCCTCCTCTCGACGGGAGCCTCATTACAAAAATTGTTCATGAATCGGAGACCCATGCCGAACCCTCACACCCATTCTACAACCATATCCACAATTGATATTCCATCGTAACGTCTGCTGGCAAATGGGGGCCGAATTGGTTTGAGCCTGTTTCGCTCAACCTACAACACCAAATGTTGCTTGAACATATCGGATCGTTTTATCGCAAGAACGACATTGATCATCAGAATTGTTGCCATGTTCTCAGCGCGGTCCGAGCGAGCCATGACCTCGACAGATGCGGGTTTTCATCGCGGCTGCGGCGTCCGCCGCTTATTTTTATTTTTTACCATGAGGGGTTAACTGAAGCCAAGCAAATGGGTCATGAACAGGAACTCTGTCAATTTTGTACCACCAAGGAACGGGGATGGGGATTATTGAAACAAACACACCCTGGAGGGGCCACACAACTGGCGTCAAGGACCGGCCGAGGCCTGGCCGAGCTGGGCGGAATCGACGTCGTTGTGCTGAAGGATCGACCAAAACGAAGAACAGGCTGCCCGACTGACAAGACCCTGCCAGTGCGTCCAAGTGGATGGAGCCACGCCCCAGCGTCTCAACCAGCCCCGAAACTCTCGGCGTGAACCTATCATCCCATAAGAACGCGCGCGTATCACACACACACACACACACACACACACATACACATACACACACACAACCCCTCCCCCACCACCTCCGAGGAAGTGGAGTGGTGAGGTTGGTGGTTGAACCTCGAATGACGGGGTCTCGTCTTTACTGTCTCCAGACGATGAAGAAGAGGGTGCGTGGCTGTACGAGCTTGCAAACATAAGCCAGATTGTCAAGCAAGGCCTGGGCGTACATGATGCAGGATTTCTTGCAGCAAAGGCTCTAGGGACCTCCGAGTGTCCACCCGCTGCGGCCCATCAGCGGAGGTGACAAGGGACAATAGCCAAACTTGGTGAGACGGATGGCCTGACAGTGTGGAGAGCAATAACGATGGGGCTTGTGCCTCTGCTCTCGTACCCGTTGGCACCCAAGTCAAGGCAAGGACTGGAGTTCCGCGAGTATCGTGAGCTTGATACACTTCTTGGCGACCATCTCAAGCAAGAACCGAGATAAGGCGACAATAGGCTGTGCCTCGTGGCTCGTATTTGGAGTCACATGCTGGCGGTCTCACGACCTGATATGGCCATCGTGGACGGCACAATGGACAGGCTCGACACCATTTTACTTGGAACCATTGGTCGACACGGAGCAGTGGCCGGCGCAGAGACTGTAATGCCGGTAGATACGCGATGCGACAATGGGCCCACGATCTGGCCGCCGCATTCAATAGGTGCTGCTACATGGTGAAGCGCCGCTGATGGGAAAAGAAGCCTATTCTTCTCCGGACAGCTGCTGACCACGGTCTTTCCTATCCAGTGCTTTGGTCAAGAGACAGACAAGTGCGGTAGACCCGGACACCTTCATTCTCCAACGGTGCCATTGGGACTAAGGCGATGTGGCATATGCATGTCTTTGATGAGACGGCCGCGCTTGTGTAGGCGATATAACCCGAATCGACTGAAGGAAGACATACAGGCATTTGGCCACATTCGTCCAGCATCAAGAACCTTTTGACATGTGCGTTGGTTACATGGGACTGAGAGGGAAAGAGATAGAGTTTTCGCAATGGACGAATTGGGAACGGAGGCCGAGTGCGATCGGGAAGTTGGATGGCGGTTGCAACGGGGGGGGGGGTCCTCATCCCCCGCGGGGAAGCGATCTGGCTGGTGGTGATGGGGCTGGAACGTGGGGAACGATCGTCTTCTGGTGAGTGTCTGTGGGATTTGAGCCGCTGTCGATCTCTCACATGCTTTCTTTTTTCTCGTTTCTTTTCTTTTTACTCTCTCTCTCTCTGTCTCTCTCTCTCTTTGCCATACCGTGGAAAAGCAGCCTCCAGCGGGCATTCTTCCACAAAGTCTTATTTTCCCCCTTCGCCGAATTCCTTTCTCCCAAGCTCAATCGAGTCGCGTTTAAAGAAGTAGACCAAGGAGAGCCGAGTAGAGATGCTAAGTAGAAGACCACGCGAGCTCGAGTGAGCTCCAGCGTATAGTACGCCAATCAATGGCATCGATGCGTTTTTTTTTTCATCTTTTTGGCTTCGTGGCTGCCTTTGGGCTGCAGGAGACCCGAGATTATGGATAAATCGCTCGGCCACTGCTACCCGTCCTCGGTGCGAAAAGCTGGGAATCGGATCGGAATGATGGCTGCATTGCTGCGGTTGAGACGTTGGAAGAGGGAAGAAAATTTTCTCAAGGAGACTAGGCATGCGGCGCGAGGATACTAGGCAAGGCACCTACCTCGAGCATGTGAAGCTTTCGAGCATGTGAAGCTTTCTGAGGAACACTATAGCGAGGCCTCCGTTCAACAAGAAAGAAAAGTGAGGTGAATTTCAACGGGCCACTACTCCTGTTGATTTACCTGAGTTCGGCATTAGCGTCGTGGTCCTTTGGCGCTGCGGTGCACATTTTGGTGCCTTTCTCTTTCTGCTATTCTTTTCACTTTTCTACTTTTCTTGGGTGGTTTTTCCATTTGGGTACTTTGGCGTCAATGCCGTTCTTTCTTACTGTGGCCATGGTGAAGTATGCGCGGGCCTTGCAGGATATGAACATCACCACATGCCCTTGACGCAGCCACAAGCACATCAAAAGACGATATTTTGGGGGGTGTGGTAGGTTCACATCTTACAGCTGAGGAGACGAACCAAGGGACCCTGCGCCGCGCCACGCACCAGGGCCGCGTCCTTGGATGCTTTGCTTTGACGCTTGACGCTTTTGCTTTTTTTTGCCGAGGGATGGGGGATGTATGGATTGGGGATCAGATGTAAGAGTTTGGAAGGCGAACAGAAGAGAGAGAGAGAGGCGGCGAGTCCAGCCAGTTGAATCGGTTGAGCGGTGCCCGGTCTGGAGGAGATGCAGGGACACCCACCCACCTGTTGTCTTTTGCCGAGACGACGGGCCGCGAGGGCTTGGCTTTTTGGTGTAGTGGTGTAGTGGTGGTGGTGGTGGTGGTGAAATCTGGAAGTATGCGGGAGCATAGGTTGGGTGTATGGCAGGACCCTTTTTCGGCATGTCGATGGTATGTGTGGGTAGTTTGGTGTACCTACTTGAGTTTGGCAGAGTTTGACAGAGTTTTCTTTTTGCTCTTGGGGGCACAGACTTTGGGAAAGTGATAATGAGGTGATTGATAAAAGGTAGATCTTCATCGGACTGTATAGAGTTGTATGGGTTTGCCCTTGTTGGTAGGCGCGAAACTTTTACGTGGCTGAGCATGTGTGTTTCGGTATTGTTCTCGGTTTTTGTCGAGGTGTCTAAGGAAACATGTAAGCTCGTATAAGTATAGATGATATGATCTTCTCCCGCAGACTGTAGGTTATTATCTCTAGCGGAATGGTCCATAGGACCCACGACCATGGCTACGTATGTAGTACGGAGAGTAATTACTACAGAGACACGACTCGGCAGGCCCTTTTCGTTTCATTACGCAAGTTGAGTTTCTTCCATATGGCTTTTGCGGATACTGGGTTGTCGAGCGTAGACCGCCGCCATCAGGTGAAGCGCTCTAAAGCCCCTCTCCTATATTTATGTTTGAGTCTGGATGTGTACATCAGCAGTTCTATGGACTTCTCTGCTGTCGTGGGTGGGTAGGCGGCGTAGAGAGATGTGAGCAGTCTACAGAGCCTGGCAATAGCGCCTTGACTCGGGTATGTTCTGATTCAAGTGAAGAATCTCCTGTACATGAATGTATTTGAGATGTTGAGTATGCTGTTTCAGTGTAAACTAGGTAAGTTTACACGACTGGTTCTTCTCACACATCATTCGAAGTCTCGAGATCCCGCAAGGCATTATTATATCAATCATTTTCAACTCCAGTTGCTTCATGGGGAGAGTTTCACGAGGGGTGGCAGGCAGAAACGCTGAACCTAGTCGGTGCCTTTGGAACTACATTTTAGAGTATATAGCCGCTGTTGTTCTTGTCCTTGAATGGTTCTGGCCATTTTACTAGGGGTTGTATAGGGTTCGGGGAGGAGGAGGAGGAGGTCATTGGGCTGTGGGATTTTGGGGGACCTTTTCAAAGAAGGTAGAGGAGATGATATGAGACTTAATGCGGGCTTTGCCGGTGCTGTTTTCAGTGATTAGATGACTACGTGGGGGTATGTCAGTGTCTCGTGGAAGAACGCCAGGAAAGCGGTACGTGGCAGAGTTGTTCTACCAGGCTGGCTGTATATTTGGTCATCCTTCTGCGTTGGGTCCTTTCAACGGGAAGTTACTATAATATATCTAGGTTTACGAACACCAGCATGGTGTACAGCAATGATGGATCTGGTTTTCTCGACTTGCGAAGAACTGAATAGAAGTCAGAGAGCGGCGATACATGTGCTCTTTCGCCGTCTATTTCGAGAAACCTCAACGTATCTGTTCCTCAGCCCAAACCCCTTCTCCCTCAATCTACCCCCATACCAAATAATTTGTATCATCTAAAAACTTGGTAGTCGTGTTCTCTGGCTGAGCTGGTCATACGGAGCTAGCCATCGTGGTATCAAGGCCCCGTCATCAACGTCCCTTGTGCCGAGTCTTATCTGACTTCTTCGTTGAGTCTTGTTTACCACCAAATACTTGGCCATTGATCCTCGCTGCGCTCCTTTTATGCAAAGGTTTTCTGTTTTGAATGGCTAATTCGTAGCATGTTCAAAGACTCCTTCGCCGCGTTCGAGCTCTTATACGCTAGCGGTGATGTTAAGTCTTCCTCTTTCTCACAGCACCGGCCTCAGTCTCCGTTGTCAAGAGGTAGAAGAAAAGGTACGAAATAGGGGTCTAAGATTCGGTAAAGATGCGCAAATTAACTTGAAGGCGATGTTTCGTTTGCGAAGCACATCACGCTGGAACTGTCTTTGATGTAGCAGCGGTGCATGGGTTCCCAGTAAAAGTCCCATCGAATATCATAGTTCTTGAAGCCAGAGGAAAGGAGACCTTGGCTTGATCATCATCATGCTTTCGAATGACAGTCTTGGGTTAGCTGATGGATTGAGACCTCTAGTTGTATTTCTTCACATTTAAAGCCAGAACACGTTGAGCGGGTTGGGATGTCCCTTTCTTTGAATATCTCAATGATGTATCAAACATTTCTACGCATATATATCGAGTTTCGATTATCTATTTCTAAGTTGATGATGTTACTACTCCAGCTTCGTTGGACCGGTTTGAGAATCGTGGTTTCCGCAAACCTGAAGTTCCAACCATGGAGCCGCTGCACGTATACACTTATTTCAGAGCGGTAAACCATGTTCACTTGGATTCCTACCTTACAGAACATAAGCTCACTGCGTTAAGTAGGGTTTGAGAGAAGCATTTGGTTGGATTCTAGACTGAGATTGTCGAACGTGAGCAGGTTATGGCATAGCCTGTTTCTTCGCATACTGTCTGTGCCTGCGAAGAGGTGGATACGGGGAAGGAAATTTTCGTGAGGCTGTGATAGAATCAGCGAGAAATCATCGAAAGCTTGTGTAGATCACTAATTAGGGCCTGGATATGGACGTACGAATCAGGTATCTTGGTTGAGATGGGCAGATCAGGCTTGATAATTGTCTAACCGGGGTTGGAATTCCCGGGCGACGAGTGAGTGCTACCGAAAGCGAACCAAGCAAAGAATTTGATGTCATTGAGAAGTGCGGTCCTATATCCAATGGAGAAACTGCCCCCTACCATTTTTTGCGTAATAGTAACGACGACAGAGATGTCGGTTAGTCTGCGATATCACCAAGAGAACGAACTTTGTCGAGATTATCAGTGTGAGTAGACAGTGAAGAAGCAAAACGGTAAAATTCCTGACATGGCCATCATATTCATGCAGCAGGCAACGTCTACATGTACATACAAGCCGCGGAAGGGAACCTCCGGCCCGTCCTCCGGACCGGTGGAGTGGGTTCACACCGAAAACAGTCCGATCAGCCCCCGCCCTTCCCCCTCTCCGCCGTTCACATCAAAGCTCCCGCCAACCCCGCACCGACACCGATACCGGGACATCGAATACGCGGGCCGGAACCATCAGCGGAACTTCCGCACCTTTTCTCCGCACCGTCCCCGCCCCGAGGAGGAACTTACCATATCCGGACAAACATCAGTGGGCTCATCGACACGCGAGCAAACCGCTCTGCCACTCTGGCGAAGTTGAGGGACCTACCCAGAGACAAGACCCAAAAAAACGGACCCCGTCCGAGAGGACCCGAAAAAGGAGGATGGGAAAAAAAAAAGGAATTGCCTGATATGCTGAAAACAGACAAGATGCCTTCAGCGCACCACGTCATCGAAAGGCCCGAACGGTAACACACTCACACTGCCACACGCACACTTGCCGAGAGATCGGGCGGTTACACAAGGCCCGAGGAGTGGGGGATGTTCGGGTGATGGGATTATAGTGATGGAGAGTAGGTAGGTACCTAAGCAGAAAAAGACGTGGCTATTTCTCCGTATGGTGGAAATCACCTGTTCGGGAAAGAAAAAAAAACAACCAAAACGCCTTGCCGTCTTTGTCCTACCGACGTACTTCTGCACGCAGAATTGATTTGGGGGACCCAGCCGCCCATGGGAGAGGCTTTGAGGCTTGAGGCTTGTAGAGTATTTTCGCAAGTTCGCAAGCGACAACTGCCGCAGCCCTCCGGGGCGCCATCTCCTGGTCCTATTATCTAGGTAGCCACTTACTTGCCATAGACAAGAACACCCCGAGCAAGGCAGAAAAGGAGGGAATGGGATGTAGGTAAGGTAGGTATGCCACTGATCTAAGCCACTCCACCTGACAGCTTTCCTTCCCGTCAAAGGCGCTGTCGATAGTGGGTTAGGATGGACGGGGGACTTGCGGATAATCAATGAGCCAAGGTCGAAAAGAGAACAAGAAGAAAAAAACGCCGCGATCTGGGTCCAAGATCGACGCTCGGGAAATTTTGGGAAAGGGAAAGTTGCCTGCCCACATACCTCGGGATGTGTGAACAAACAGGGGGAGTGTGTTTAGAAAAAAGAAAAAAAAACTCCTAGAATATCAAAGACTGAGATTTCGGAGGATCAAAAGATCAGAGACACAACCGACAAGGTTGTTCAAAAGAACACGAGGAGCTTGAGGGAGGCGAAGACATGAAAACGTCCTTCTCGGCCGGTACCAAACTCGTTGTCAACGTCGGTCTCAGCAGTAACAAGTTTGGAACCCCACCCTCCCGGAACAGACTCCAGCTGACAAGGTTGGTTGACACGCTGAGTAGCACGATAAGAGGAGATCGATCAACTACACCACCAAAATCCCTTTCGCAGCGATTTCCAAGAACGTCATATACCGGGAGGCGCGCAACACGCTGCAAGCTATGGCCATCAAAGAGAACTCGTGGGCGTTTCCCCCCCATCGTATGTTGAGGCGCGGGTTCCACCCACCCCACGTTTGCGGACGTAAAGATACTTTGCCCTAAACAAAGTAGGTAGCCCTGCCTTGTGCTCCCAGAGTCTCCTGCATTCCGTCTCGGCGGAACGAAGAGCGGATAGGGCGGTCATCAACAAAGTGTAGCTGTTCCGGCAACTCGTGGCCTGGTGAGAAAGAGTTTTGACGAGATGCAATCGTTTCCGAATCTCTCGAGACGCGCGGCTTGCGTGTAAGGTAAGAAAAGACCAGATCTTTGCAATCACTTATTTAGAAACGTTGACGGCAATGCGTCTTTTGATATGTATTCATGGACAGTAAGTCTGTTCTCTGCATTGACAAGGAAAATCATTAAACTGCATAAGTCATGATGTAGGCAAAGATGCCAAAGTTGTATAGCGAACAGGGTGTCCTCCGAGTGAAGAGGACAAAGGAGTGTTGAAGAACAGAAGAACAACAAGGCAAACGGCCCGCAACAATCGCTAACCCCCCAGAAAGCGCGTGATCTTAGAATGAGCAAGCATATAGAGTGCTGCATTCGTTGAGAAAGGCGGCCAAGAGAAAGAGAAGAAAGAAATAAGAGTCATAAGTCGTTAAACAAGCACAAGACCCAGACATGGGCGTTAAACTTTTCCAGCAAGGTAGAGGATGTTCTCTTTGACTGCATCCGTCAAGTCCCCTTGTCCCGTGTAGACATGGGTGACTGTTTGGGACCACACTTCGGGATACGGTAGTGGCAATTCGACAACGTCGCCTGCCTGGATGGTGCCAGAGACGATGATAGCCGCCAACACCGGGAGTGAAGACCGGGCGTATTGGAGATCTGTGGGTGGGTTGGGTGTCAGCCTTGGATTTCCTGCCTTGTGCTCGGGTAGGAGGGAGCCGGCCTTGGAGGCTATGGCCCAAAAGGTTCAAGTCCGCAAACGTCAGAGGGGATAAACTTAGGCGAGACAGTACTTACGGATTGGTATAGTGTCGGCGCCACGCGATGAGGCCGCGCGAGGATCTCCAGATCTTAGCCCGCGGCTGTAAGGGAGCGTGCTGTGAATTGCACTGCTCGACCGTCTTC